TAGATATTATAATTTAATGTTCGTCACAAATGAATTTGATCATTACATCCAAACGAGCTCTCCTACGTAATCTTATCTTGCGACCTTAAAACCAAATCTTTTTAGTCTCATTCCCATGATAATATTTTTGATACTTTCACATTTGATGTGCGTTTTATAATTTTTTTATGACGACTTGAAAAATGATAGCCTTATTTGTTATCTTTTATACATAGATTATATGACATAGTAACTAGGTCAAAGTTTATTCTGGTTTCAAATGATTATAGGCGAAGAGAAAACTTTTTAAAATACGCTTTCTGGGTTTTATTTTATTGTAAATTGTATACTGGAAATTAGATGTTAGATTTCTTTCTTTATAATATACTAGATGCGAACCTTTCCGATTTTCAATAGAAATCTGTTCAGCGGTTTAAGCGTGATTAAGTTAAATATGTTGGGACATCATCACACAGCACCATCTAGTTCCATGGTAAGCTACGAGGCCTGTGTTATGGATACCAGATGGTTGATACACTACATAATAATATATAACTTTAAATACATACATATTATAAATATAAACACCCATGACTGAAGTACAAATATTCGTGCTCATCACACAAATGCATGCCCCCAGCGGGACTCGAACCCACAACCGCTGGCACCTAAGTAGGGTCACTACAGACTGAGCCAAACGTGTCGTCATCTTACTGACAGTTACTGACAGAGTCAAGTTACTGACAGAGTTGCTATCACATTTATAATATCAGTAAGAATAGGCAATACTCAGAAGTAAAACTATCTTATTAATACATTTCGCTAAAAGAAAGCTACGTTATTTTGAAGTAACATACCTAAGCTTAATACTTTTTTAGATTTACGTGAATATTTGACTTTTAAATAAAACAATCTTTTCCGACATTTTCGAGTATTTATTTTGATTAATTTTCAACCGACTTTTTCAAAAAGTAGGAGGTTCTCAATTCGACCGTATATAGGTATATACAATAATCCAAAAAAAGTGCCAGCCAATACAAATCAAAGCACACCGACTTCGAAAATATCTGATTAGGTATTTATTCTAAATGAAAACCCCCGTTTAGTTATTTTTTACTTTTCAGTTTTCAGTGCCTGGAAGTCTGTTTTCATTTATTTTTTTATTTGTTCCTGATGATTTGAATGCTTTACAGCAATCATGGTCATGGTTAATGTAAAGCATTCGAAATGTTGAATCAAAAATCAAAATAAATCCGCGAAAAAATCCAAAAAGATAGTTATTTAAAAAGTAACATGATGTCTTACCGTTCCATACCTTCAAAATGGAGATACACCGGAAATTTGTAATGAATAATTATATCCTACACATCAAACTTTAAAGCTAAGTTTAAAATTGTTAGCTTTTAAAAGTAATTCTCTACGACATACTCATCCCTTCGTGAAACGAAAAGGTCGCGCCCAAAAATCTGTATCTGATTTAAAACGGTATCTTCAAATCTAAAATAGAAGTTGAAACCAACGAATTGTTAATAGGCATTTGGAACGAATCTTTACAGTGATCGTGACCTTAGAATGTGATATTTTTGAAAATGGCACACGACGAATTTATGTAAAATACTTTTTAAGTAAATATTTGACGTGAATATTATATTATATTTAAATTATATTTATTTGCTTATTGATAGTATAAATGATCCATCTAAGATATAATAAGACACATATCATGAGCACAATATAATTTTCATTTCTATACCGATAAGAAGCTTATAACGTATTATTAGTTTAACTAAAAGTGTAAATAGTTTACACTCGAGAAAGATCCTACTAATATTATAAATACGAAAGTTTGTGTCGATGTATGAATGTCTGGATGTATATATGTGATGTATGTTTGTTACTCATTCACGCAAAAACTACTGAATTGATTTCAATGAAACTTTACAATAATATAGCTCAGATGATAAGCTATATAAATAAAAATGAAGCGCCGAAATGTATGTACGCGTAAAACTTCCGATCGACTGCACCAAATTGGATAATTATTTTTGTTTTTGGGTTTGTTATTCAGTAGTCAGGACAAGCTTTGTATAGAAGAAAATTAAAGGAACATTTTTTTTAAATACATTTTTTTTAATCTTATTATATGAAAAGTGAGTGAGTGAAATAGTTTTTATCCCGGAAATCATCCCTTAAGAGAGTGAGAATGGGGATAAAAGTTTGTATGGGGAAGCAAGCCAGGGACGAACCCGAGCGAAGCGAGGGTGAATCGCTAGTATAATTATGATAATATGTCATCAGAATAACATATAGGCTACTTTTAATCCCGGAAAAATATACGGTTCCCGTGGGATAGATTAATTTAAAACAAAATTAATCGATTTAATATTTAAGTATTTAATATTTTAACTAGTTAGTGTGAAGATTCTTCTAATAAATCTTTTGTTCTGGGGTCATGTCACAAAAAATATACAAGACTTTTTTCTATACCCCAAGTTTACGTGGGTCGTGTTATGTGCCCACCTTTTTTTATATTTCAAAGACATTGATTGATTGAACGTTATAGCGCGTTTGTGAGAATTCTTGCAGAGATTTTTTATTGTGAATCCATCCCTTAATTTATTGTATCTTAATTTTAGATAATGTCCGTTTTCTTTATCATTTAATTGCTATTACTTGCTTTATAGGGTTTGTAATGAAACTAGTAACGTTATCTTTTTGTTATCAGTAATCTGTATGACAGGATGTTCTATAGAATGCCTAGTATTTTATAAAACGTCTGAAAAGTTTAACACCTCCTGGTAAATTTGTAAGAAATTAATTAAATTTCTAAGAAATCTATTGTTAACTGTAACGCCAGCGTATCCGCGGTCGTTGAGGGCTTAAGAATGCATGAAATATAATTTACTTCAAACCTTACCCAGGCACTGTATAGAAAATTAAAGCCCGGAAAGTATTGTCATTGGAGAGCTGATATTAGTACATATTTAGGAGAATCGATCATTCAGTTTACCACCAGTGGATGGAGGGGTTTTAGTGAGTAAAACTCTCACAATCCTCTGGCTCGATGACAACCAACCTTAGCTCTCTTTATGAAGATCAGTCTAGACTAGCATAGGATTATTATAAATGCTTTTGAATCGCCAATTTAATGTAAGCGTCAGCTTAATCAGTAGTAGTCCATATTGTGTACAATTACTAAATTATATACTTTTCTTGTAACATAATATACAATTTGTTTTCTAAAGAGAACAGTTTTAATGTTGTTTAATACAAAATAAAAAAAAAACTTTCAAAAGGTTTATCTTAAAAAGTTAGTCATAAGCTTTATCATACTCATATTATTATTGAAATATCTTACAACAAAAAACTTCATCGTCCTCTTAAACTAATATTAGGCATGAAATATTTACCAGGCGACATCTAAAAACTCATCCTTCCAAACATATAACAGTATTACGAAAAAACATGTGTTACGTAAAATGCGAAACGACCAACGCCGAGGGCTAAAAATTAACATAAAGATTCTCGTTGGATTCTACGTCCCCGAAATAAAGCGGGAGAATGTCATATTTGGGCTAGAATTCTGTAATGTGCAAAAATAAAGGTAGCATGGTAGCTTTTTATATAAATAATAATATGTTTTTTTTTAATAATAATAATAGTTGATTTTTATTCATATAAGGGCGTATATATTAGATTTTTTCTATGCAAGGTTATTGGGTCGATTCTTGTGTGTAGAAATTATTACCCGCCTGACTCTTAGTTGGTATATTGGTAAAAGTAGCCTATATGTTAGTATATATAACATATATATGCTAACTAGTATGTATATATATATATATATATATATATATATATATATATATATATATATATATATATTAGCTCTAGATTCTTCTAATAGGTTAAGCTATATATATATATATATATATATATATATATATATATATATATATATATATATATATATATATATAGCTTAACCTATTAGAAGAATCTAGAGCTAATATAAAAAAATAAAATAAAATCCACCAATAGGGTAAGGATGTAGAGTTTTCATTTTTAAATAAATAAAAATCGGTTAAGTGCCAGTAGGACTCGCACACGAAGGGTTCCGTACTATTATCGTTTTTTTTAATTTGCCTGGCAGCTTTTTTGAAATTAGCTATCTTAGTTTGTTGTTATAGCGGCAATAGAAACACACACTGTGTGAAAATTTCAACTCTGTACCTATTACGATTTATGAGAAACAGCCCTTTGACGGACGGACGGATAGTGGAAGCTTAGTAATAAGTTTCCGTTGGCACCCTTCGGGTACGGATCCCTAATAATGCTATGATAAGCAAAATACGTTAAGTTACATGCTATAAAAACACCGTAACGAACTACAGCTATTATAACTATAGCCAAGAAACTATAAACAAAAACAAATCTATCCCTCGGGAACCGTATATTTTTCCGGGATAAAAAGTAGTCTATGTGTTATTATATTGTGTTTAGTAAAGTTTCAGTCAATGTATATGATGATAGTTTAACAAAATATGTTCGACGTGATTCTTTAAATTGGCATAACTTTTTTATTTATGAAACGATTGACATGAAACAAACACTTAATGTTAAGTGGAGCTTACCACAATATATTAGTGAAAACCACATCTAAATCCGATGAGCCGTTTTTGAGACACACAATACACCAACAAACAGATAAACAAACAGACAAAAATTCAAACTATCATTGATTTAGGTGCTATTTGCGTCGATAAAGGTCCTAATAATATTTTTTCTCATATTATATCTTCCATGTACAGACAGCGATCCGTTACATTTTTATTATATGTATAGATTATAATAGGTTTATATACCAACGTCAAAAATTGTAGGGCCATGCGTGTTGGATGACAATAATAACCAAGCAATTTTATCTCAAGAACAAACATTCCACAAAAGGCGTGCGAGCGCAGAGTAAAAAGACAATTTTACAGGGCCATTAGCCGTAAGGGAAACGATATAAATCTACTGCAATGAAAAATTGGTACATAACCGGCACCTACGAGTACGTGACGGTCCAAAGGCTGGTTATATCTGCTTCTTGTAATGAAACTTGGTAAGATTTTTGTTATGTGTGAAAGCGATAGAAATGAATGAAATAAGGTTTTATATTATACTAGCATTGCCTGCGGCTCCGCCCGCGTTCAGATGACAGATGAACAAAAACCAAATTCTTAGGTTTTACATATTAGTATACTTTTACACTGCAGTTTTTTCTTATTTTTTCTCAGAAATGAGATATTTTCCAGGGGTAAACAGTATCCTATATGTTGACCCGGATAACCTATCACGATATACGAAATTACATCAAAATCCCTCCAGTGGTTTTTCTGTAATGCGGTAACAGACAGACAGACAGACAAAAATTCCAAACCCTAAATATGGCATCTGCATCGATAATAATGTTTGTTTTAATAAGATTTTTTTTAAATATTTAATGTAAAGATTCGGCTTAGTTACAATTTTATTATATGTATAGACTAGCAACTTACCCTTGTTTCACTCGGGTGAGACGTTAGGTACTTAACAGCTATATCCTAAGTTTTTTCTAGATCATAATCTGTGTCTAAATTTCATCTTAATCAACACAGTTATTATAATGTGAAGGAGTAAGAAACATACAAACATACAATCTTTAACATTTTTAATAGTGTTTTTGTATTTTGTTTTTAATAAAACCCGATTATTATTTCTTTAAATATTTTACTCAAGTTGGAAAGATTGATCATATTTTAGAATATAATCCTACATTTAAGAAAAAATAAGATACGTATTTGAATGAATTATAAACTGTTTTAAAGCTAAGAACTATTTTAGGAGCTATAAAGCTCGCTATCTAGGAATAAAGAAAATATTCTTGTATTTTAACGTCCCACTGCTGGACACGTGCCTCCAGAACATATCAGAAGTGCGAGACCTAGGATTTGAACCCACTTCACTTGGCTTACCAAGCAAGCGCGATACAACTGGGCTACCACTGCCTTAAAAAATCTTGCTATTTTAAATTTATCAACTAAATATAATCGTGTTTTTTAAACGTGACAGAATTTAGAAAACTTACAGAAGTAAAAGCTATGTATAAGTTCATATTATTACAAAAGACGGAAGTATTAAAAAAATAGCACATTTTTACAGTCATTCGATAATATAGCGATACATCAAGACAATCGTAATCTATGTTATAAATAACATTCCCATAAAATTTTGTGTCACTTTTCCACATCTTTTCCTTATACTTCACAAGTTGTAAGCATTTGTTTCTTTAGTTACATAAATCATAATATTTCTTACTGAGCCCATCCCGCGGGATTAACACTGATGTTTTATTTGACGCGAGTATCTTTTATTTTGCTCGTGAAGCCGTTAAATATAAGGTTGTTTATAAAATCCGATCTATTTTCTTTTGGATTTTACATTTTATGTACATTCAAGTCATTTAAGCTTGTTCATTTGATTGTGTACAGAAATTAATATATGATGATGAGAAACAGTTATGAAATTAGATTTTCTTTTTTACATTATTAAACTGTTTTCGAATAAATATGAAAGGTGGTTATTATGATATTTATTTTGTTATTTTAGGAGTCTGTACCCAAAGGGTTAGGTCACAATCCTTTGTGACCTAACCTGTTCATATAGATTATGACTTAGATTAACACTTGGATTGGCTGCTATTATTAACAAAATTATTCAAAAGATAGCGCTACCTATACACCCCGAGCACAGAGTAAGCCGCTGGTACATTTAAATTATAGCCATCTATAATCTAGTATCTTCTTTTTTACAGTGTTTTAAAATCCAATTATAGCTTCCATCATTCTGAAAGGTGAACAGGTGGTAGCGAGTTCCTTGCTAATACCCCATAACAAGGATTTAACATATTTCATACACAGTAATACCATGATAGTGAAACTACAAGCGTAAATAGGATTATACTTTTAAAGCTATTTTTAAAATGCCTCAAGCAATTCGACTAGTATAAATTTTAATATCTTTCTATTTGTATAAGTCCTAGAGGCAGATTGTACTTAGAGACTAAGAAAATAATTCGACATGGCATTTAACTCGTAAATATGCGAAGAGCAACTCGGTTACTGCCTCGGTGGTGTAGTGGCTAACATGTACGGCTACACACCCGGAGGTCCTGGGTTCAAGTCCCGGGGAAATCGGCTAGGAGAACATCATCATCATCATCATCATGCGAAAAGCAGAAGTTTTATACTTGTTATCTTTCATAAAAAATACTATTCTTGGCTATTAAACATATTAATGCTTTCAATGTCATAACTGATTTGATGTAAATATTTAGGATTATAAATAAGTTAAATATGAAATTTTAGACGTCTTTATTTTCATTTGGTTAATTCAAAATGTACAGTGTTTGAACCCGCGATATTTACGGCCCAATGCCAGTATAGTATTGCCACCCTTATTTTATTGGTAAAATTAACCATCCCCCAAAATAATATGTATGTAATAATACAAACATATAGTAATACTAGCGATTTGTGACAGATGAGACTTGAATAACCTGCTGTCATCATACCAAATTTCAACAAAATCTGTCCAGTGGTATTCTCGTGATGCGTTCTCAGACAGACAGACAGACAGACAAAAATTATAAAACTATAGATTCTGCCTCTGTATGGATAATAATGACTACATTTATAAGATTTTCCAAAAAAATATTTAATATACAGATTCAACAAAATTAGAATTTTATTATAGGTATAGATTATATGAATAGATAGTAATGTCAAAGTTTTACACTGAATGGAATTCCGATGTTTCTGATGCGATAAAAGCTACACTTTTTGTCTTTATGTTAGAATTCATAAAATTCAGCGGCTGAACGGAAGTTAATCGAGCTTTTTATACCTATCATTTATATGTAATTTTTATTCAAAATGATTGAGCCGATGAAATGATTTCGCATCCTCATTAAAGCTAAATAACAATACCTACATGTAAACAGTACTTGTAAAAAACTTCATATTTATTATTTTTTAGTATCAACTGAATGATATTCTATAATAAGGGACAAATAAAGAATAAACAATAGCTCTACCTATTCAATTAATGAGGCAAGTTGTTTAGAAAATAACAGAGGTATCACCATATAGTTTGCGTGAGCTTTGCAAAATTGGCGCCCAAAGGCAGCCTTGCGTGACTTACAACTGCAATCTGATTGTAAAATGGGTCAAACAAAACGCAAAATGAATATATTCTATTGTATATAGTTATCTTGAAGCAAGATCTATTTTAATCATGCCTATTTAAAATGGTAACAGACATAATTAGTCAGTTCATACAATATTATATATTAATTTGCCTATTTGGTCTCGTGGTTGATATGTACGACAGATTTTGGGGTTCTGGGTTCAAGTCTCGGGTTGGTGCAATTATCTATACTAATATTATAAAGAGGTAAAGTTTGTGAGTTTGTGAGTTTATGACGTTGTAGGGGTCATCTCTGGATCTACTGAACCGATTTAGATGAAATTTGGTAAGAAGATAGTCCAGACATCATCCCTTAAGGGTGTGAAAATGAGGAAGAACATTAGTATGGGGAATCAACTTATATATAAATAGGTATGTTTGTTGGAAATTCTTAATAGCTCGTGTTGGAATGTTAACGGTGTTATATCTCGTTCCTCGAAGATTACTTCTAGGCTCTGCGCCTGATCTAAAATAAAATAATCAAAAAAATGTAAAGAGTGTAATGGCATTTGCACTGAACTACGTGTACGCACAATGTACGTTCAATGTCATTTCAGCCACACACGTGACCTACATCGTTCATGAGAAATTCAAAAAATATGTATGTATATCCTTCTAAGCTACATTTAGACCTCTATAACCTATATATTTTTCAAAATATTTTAGAATTACTATCTCATGAAAAGCTCTTAACGAATTGCGATATATTATATTTGTATTTATAGGTATTACTAGAAGCAACTTTATCTATTACGACACAATTTTGTATGATTCATACAATTTTTGCTAATTCTAAGGGTAAAAATGTTTAATGACTCACAAAAGTGTTACTTAATATCAATTCTATAGCTTATGCTTCGACGTCAATAGTATGAAATTCGCGTACATTTATACGTGCTAGATACTAGACTACGGAAATATATATAGATTTTAACGCTTAGAAGCACGAAGGTCTTATAGATAGCTTCAGTTTTCTATTAACGATAGCGATTATAGAATACCATCTTACCTAAGCCCTTTGTTTTGATTTTCAATGAAGTGCTCTGATAAAACTACTTTAAAGTAATTGTTATACTATGGAAGATGGAATTTATCTAGCTATTTATTTTGTTTAGACTGAACCAGTGGTGATTTAAATTGTGGACTATAATCTTGTACTATATTCTTAATGTAAGTAAACATTGTTTTTTGTTGGTAATAAAACAATTTTAACCCAAATTTATGGGATCACACTAAGACAATCTAATCTATAAATATAATAAAATTCTGAGTCAAATCTGGACATTAAATATTATTTGGAAAATCTTACTGAAATATTCATTATTATAGATACAGAGACTGAATCTATAGTTTTTAGAATTTGTGTCTATCTGTCTGTCTGTTTGAGAACGCATCAAGAAAAAACCACTGCACAGTTTTTATTGAAATTTGATATGATGATAGCTGGTTATCCGAGTCAACATTTAGGATACTTTTTACTGCAGGAAAATATCTTATCTCTAAGAAACGTTTACTAACCGTTAATTAATATAATCATTAATTAAAATCGGTTCACAATACCGGGTAACATACACAAAAAAGGTACCAAATTGAGTATCTTCGTGTATATGAAGTTTTCCAAAGCTTAAAATTAGACAAGATAATGTATGTATTGTATACAGCCCTTTTTTAACGTCCCGCTGCTGGATCTCCCTTAAGCCATAGTCCACTACGCTGGCCAAGTGCGGATTGGTGGACTGCACATGCCTTTCGAAAACTTGCTAGATTCTATCAGACATGTAAGTTTCTTCACGATTTTTAAAAATAAGTATTGGAAATGATTTGCACATGATAATGTCAGAGATACGAGACCCGGGATTTGAACCCACTTCACACGGGTTTAAAAGCGAGCTCGTTACCACTGGGCTACCACTGCCTAGTATAACAGTAGAAACTGAAAAAAAAACAGAACATGGATCTACACTCTAAAAATTTCAAAAATCTCAAGTTGTTATATTATTATTAGAATCGATTTATTTCAAACAATATAATATATAACTCAGATATCGTAACATTAGTTAAACTTTCAAACTACAAGGAGACATATTTCGTCTGAGCTTTGAATAATAAACGCGTGCCCTCGCACGTCTTGCTACCGGTGCGGTCCGCTCACGATCACCATTTGTCTAGAGCCTGGGGCCTGCAATTTTGCATTCACCACGCCTACTTCAATACATTACAGTAGTATTTCTTGAAATTTTACATTTTACATTTTCCAATGGATAATATAATTTTTGTAATATTTAACATTTGCACACTTATATTGTTATTTATTGTAATTTTTTGCAAGGCATTTCCACACTTTTTCAAACGAAAAATATACTACAGCATAATATTATACAATATAAATAATAAATAAATCTTTATTGGACGCGTTTTAAAGATTACAATTTACAAAATTATGTTCGATAATGACTACATTAGTTAAAACTGTGTCGTAGTCATTAACGCCCACCTCCAGATTAAAAAAAATATACGTTAAAAATATACATACATATATGTACATACCTATATAATTATTAATAATATAAAAGCGAAAGTTTGTATGTGTGTATGTTTGTTACTCCTTCATGCTGAAACGGCTAAACGGATTTGAATGTTTAATCCACAGAAAGACTATAACCCAAAGCTGCACAGGCTTATGTCAAAAATATAGCAAGCGCTACCTGTTATAATATTTTTGTAAAAAAAATATTATTGTACGTATCATGTTATTATTACGAG